GGTTCGCGATATCCACTGGTTGACAGCGAAGCGATTAATTCATTCTGTTCATCACACTTTACTTTCTTGTGTGATCGAAGACTCTTCCAACAGAGAACTCGGTGTTTATTTGGTTATGAAGAGACACGCAGACATTGTCCCCTCCATCGCGCCCTCCATTTGCTTTTCACCTTCCATCATTGATCATGTTTCACATTCGTACGTCATTGTGTTCAGCACAAAGGTATTTAAAGCTCAACGGTACTGAAGTCGACCTTTCTGATGCAGTACTTTGAGAATATCGAAGATTCTGTGAAATTCTCATCAAGCAGCATCATTTTTACATACAGATTTGAGCTAGAGGTTGTAGTGCATATTTTCTTGCTGGCCAAGATAGGCTTACCTAAACTCAACATTGACTATCTACAATCTGGTTGCAAGCGTATCGGCATTTTGTATCATCTTTGTTTTTGATATCTTAGTTTCCAGGCTTATTTGCATTGTGTTCCTCCAGTACATTGTAAAATTTGCGGAGGAAAAATTAAATTTATTCTAATTTTGTAAGTTTTTTTTTTGGGAAAATTAATATTGCAGGCATGATGGAGCTGCCGCATTCCAGACTGATGGCTTATTCAGTACAGCCGGTGGAACATTCAACTCCGGCAGATGTCTACAAGCAAGAAGCAGAGACCCAAGTGAGAGGGCGCAAACGATGCGTTCAGGAATGTCATCTGCGAAATCCCAGCAACGTAAATCAATCAACATGCTTTTCAGCTGTTCCTGGACATGGGTACTAGATGGGGTACGATTTCGGGTAGCGCTTTTTTGTCTGTCAAATTGTATTTTCAATTTTTTCATGGCTCTGAACACTCAAGAATCTTTGTTGACTAAAACATTGAGGTTTTTAAATGATTTATCAATTGTTGAATGGCACCGAGCATTCTCAAGATGCATTGTCCTTGAGAACTTCTCTACGATCAACTTCTTTATCGGGGGATATAAGAAGCACTTGTTAATAAGTTGGCTGAGGAATCACACAAAAGGAAACGGATGGAGGAAGAAAATTTCTGGTACTTGCAATCTCTGTAGAGAGAAACGAAAAAAGAGAAAGGGCCGTGATAGAGTTTCGATTAAAATAGCACACAGCGGGCTTGCCAGTTCGCAACAAAACCTGAACGAAGTGGATGTTAGTCACAGTCAGTGATGGTTGCTTGAGGAGATTTCTTTTCGATTTTTACCAGCATATCACCTTATCGCTCTGTAAAACGATTATTACATAATTTTATCGAAATGGTGAAATTAACGTTAAGATCACTGGAAGGCTGGCCATCGGGCAATGCAGCTTAGGTCAGAGAAGCGGCAAAGACGGTCAGCTGTATATCTAGAGAGCTGGCTGTGAATTACAGTTGGTCCAAATATTCCAAACTTGTGCTTGATTCCAGCGTCAGATTCTGTTTGCAAAATAATTTAGTAATTATCCGCATTTTCACTAATTTTTATGCGTTTTTTGCACCTA